GTCCGCCTTCCTGCTTCTCTGATGCTGCTTGGCCTGCTGTGTTCATCCAGCTCTACACCTTGTTATCTCAGATTCCCCGGCATCTGCAGTTCCTACTATCTCTCTCCTGCAGAATGCATTGACTTTTTGCACATTGCACAAAGTCCATAATATGCACATCAATAGAATGGAATATAGCAGCTCTATTTTTATCAAATTTAATTGGTTTGCAGCGTAAACAGATGAAATGACTCACTGCCTGTGGTATATGGAACTTATCAACCACACCAAGTTCATAATACATCTGTAGTCCACATTTCACAAGATCCAAAGGAGACCAATCAAAATCACAAAAGTGAAACTCATAGATTTCTGCTTCCTCAGCATCTGGAAGTTCTTCAGCCTTAAAAAAAAGACAAAAATAGATGTGAATAATAATAATAATAATTAACAATGTGGTAGAATTTCTGAGCATCTCACAATCCTGACTTAGATCTTTACTTTACTGTTGCTGAGTCTAAAACTGGAACTCCCTTCCTAAGAGCAATGTGCACTCCAAGAATGGTAGCAAACCAAGAGGGTCAGCCACCACCACTGTCTCCAGGGCGGTTAGTGATGTGCAAAAAATGATGACCTAGCCAGCAATGCCCATATACCATGAACAAATAAATAAACATGTTCAAATATGTAGAAGTGACAGTTATATTTGTTTTTAGAAGACCTTTCCAACTCTATATGGATCTTGAGATCATCTCATTGAGCCAAGGAGGCTATGTGAGGGTATGAGGTATTAGGGTTTGCCATGTTTGACATCTTCTAAAATACCTGGGACAAAATCCCAGAGAACTGAAGTGGGACTTCTAAATGCTGTGCCTCAGCATTAAACTGTTCCCATGGTCACCTCTGCTCTGGTTTTTGGGTCAGTGGGCTTGATTCCATTCTGTAACTGCTCCCATGGAGCAGAAATTGAATTTAGAGGTACTTCTTAACTGAGTTTACTGAAATTTCTCAACTTGAGCAATTTTAAAATCTAGCACTAAGTATCTCATCTGATCGCGCTTCTGTTAATTGACCATAGCTAAGGCAGTAGAGACAAGTTCAAAGAAAAGGAAGGAAGAAAATCCCCTTTTTTCAAAAAAGAAGATGTATCATTATTTTGAGAAATTATTTAAAATATTCTTAAAATTATGTTTTTGTTGAGAGTGTTTTGTCAGTCTTTATATTTATTTATAGCAAAAGATACATCTTAAATATAAGAAAAGAATGAAATTGTCTATAACCATAACTCAAATATGGTTTACTCACCAATATTTCTTGAAGCTCTTCTTCGTCACATTCGTCTGGTTCTCTTTCAAAGTATTCTCTAGTTTTCTGTCAAATTTAACGGTGTTAGTGATTTGTTTCTGAAATCATAACATTGTTGGAAATTTAATTTCAAAATCACATAATATTGCTGAACAAAGTTCTTTAACATTATTCCAACGTACCAGGATATCCTGTATTTCATTGTTAGAGCATTTAACATGATAATTCACCATATCTTGTGCAATATCTTTCCTATTTTCCAGTTTGTTCATTTTGTCATATGTATCTGTGTTCAAAACAGACCACCCAAGGAACTGTGTCAAGGCCTGAAAAAGATAAAGACTTGTCAATATGCAGTTTTCTGTCATCTGATTGGGATTCCAAAGTTACCAGATTGAAACTTACTTCCATCAAAGTTTCATCCATCTCATCAAATGGTTTTCCATCCTTCCTGTTATAAAATGTGGCAACTCCAACAATCTCCTCTTTCTTGTTCACTATTGGCATTGACAGCACATTCTTAATTGTCCATCCCAAATTATCAAGAGGCTCTTTCTGTAGATGTTAATAGAATTTATTTTAAATATACATGGGGATTTATGGCTAAGCCATAATATATCTGACAAATTAATCTATGTATGTTCACTTTAGTTCAGTCTATCTATGCAAGTTCCAATACATTTATGTAGAAACATTGGGCTGGTTTTAGTTCTATCATCGTGGCACTCACTGGTGGGCTTGGACAAGTTGGACAAACTGTCTAGTTCTGTGCTGTATGACTCTATGACTCTATGTCATTGGGGAACTGGTGCAGGCCTGTCGTGGTTAGTTGAATCTAATAACATGGTGGCTAGCCCATGAATGTAGGTGATGTGGGCTTGCCACTGGATTACATGGCAAGGAATAGATCAAAGAATCCTTGACATCAGGAATCCTGTATCACCTGATGACACTGCAGGAGCAGACGCCACACTTAAAAGGCAGCTAAGCCCTGTGTTAGATTTGGAAATTGTCTTGCAGGCTTTTTAAGAAAAAGCTTTGTAGTTTTTAATCTCCAGCATCTGAATTCCTGTTGCTCCAGCACAAAAAAGACATTCCAATGTCCAAGGAGAAGGCTCCTCTGATGTTGTGTTAGATCATTCTGTGGTATTGATGGGTCAAATTGAGGTCAGAGATGTCACAGTGTAACCACCACATCCCCTCCAGTGCTCAAAACCAAAACAGGACAGGATGGGTGCTTTCCATACTGTCACTACCTCTTCATTTCCTTGTAGGCAGCCTTACAGCTCTCCTCAGTTCAGGGCTTCAAATTTGTGATGCCATTTTAAGGAATGGCTACTCTACAACCTTTAAGTTTTGGACCCAATATGTCAAAGCTCCGAATTTTCTTCCCTGAGGCTGAGCTCAGCATGTTTACACACAGAATAAATATCTCAATCCAGTGCCCTCAGTCGGCAGCAAGCCCAAACAGCGAGTCATGGTGCCCACATATGAGTTGCCAGCTTTCACTGGGTAGGTTACTGAAGGTATGAGAGGCACACATGAGTTTAACTGAGTTGCAGAAGCAGGATTAAAATAGGTCAAATTGCATTTAATAATATATAAGGCAATTAAGCAAATAAATGCACCAATGGATGCGGTTCCTGTTCTATTGCCTTCCCACTACTGACTTAATTGCTTACCGTTTTCCATTGTCATGAATCTGATGCATGGACACCTGCACAATTCTTTGTGCCTACTCACCATCTTGCCCATTCTAGCAGGCTTTAAAATTGCCAACCATGTTCTCTTTGCATTTTCCTACCTGAAATTCAAAGAATTCATCTGCAGCTGCATTCATAATGTTGCATATCTGGAGAAACATGAAATAGAGATAATTTTCCCCTTATTCCTCATTCATTCTGCTGAAATAGACAACTTACATTGAAAGAACAACTTGTTTTAATATAACGTTAAAGTGCAGCAAGGTTCTGTGTATCTACTGTTGGAGTACAACACTTACAAGACTGGTTTCTGCAACATACGATGGTAATCCACTAACTAGGGCCCAATGGTCTGGAGGAGGATTCCTGAAAAAAACAATCAAAATTCGAGGTAACAGTTTAAGTTGAAAAAGTAATTACAGTGACTTACTCTTTAAAAAAAAAGCTTCCGATATCTGAAACATATGTGCTGGCCCTCTGACGGATGCCTTTCCAGCAGTAAACATCTATTTCCCTCGTGACACTCAGGGCAATGAGGAGCCACTGGCCTTTGATTGGCTGTGGATTTTGACTGGGTGAATATTTGGAATTTTGGCTTCTGGTGTCCTTAATACCTAGAAAGCGTCATTACTGGCTGTAAAAGTCTCTGGCTGGCACTTAATAAGGCAGACCATTCGAAAAGGAGGTAGTGCAGGGCTCTCACTGCTTCTCTGGCTGTTGGGAGAGAGCACGAATACCTGGATGAAATCTGTCCTTCCTATGTGAGGGAACAGAGATTATAATAAAAGGTACAGAATAGAACAGATTGAACTGAAGGGAGGGGGGGAAAACAAAGCAAAAACAGACCAACATTTTTCTTTGGACTTGAACACATTGCAGCTGTTCTTGTTTTTCTAAGGATAAAGATAAGAGGGATGGGAGTGAATGGAAAGCAATTGAGAATTAAGTGAAGAGACAAATGGATGAAATTAAAGAAAACTAGGAAATGAAGATATATATTGCACTATCTACAGTGGCAGGACATCTCAAAGAAATTTTAAAGCATTGTCACTGTTTCAATACAGACAGTCATGATAGTTAATTTATATACAAGATCCCATGGCCAACAGTTACAAACTTGCATGATTTGTTTCAGTGATATTAGTAGAGGAATAAAGGTTGAGTAGGGTGGCAAACAAACTCCCCCATTCTCCTGAAAATGGCACCATAGCATCTACATCATCTGAGAGAGCAGTTGGGATCTCAGCTTAACGTTTCACTTCACTTAAAGGATCTATCCCCCAGCATTGCAGTGGACTTGAACCCGCAACCTTCTGACTGAAGGCAACAGGGCTATTGCTAAACCAAAACTGACTTTAAAAAAATTGACAACGAAAGGGAGATGCAAGGGGAGTGCATGGCTATGGGATGGAATTGGTAACATTTTCTTGCAACAAACCTATTAAACGCAAGACATTTAAACCACTCGTCTGTCAAAAAGCTTTTTATTTAGGTTGTTCTCTGAATTTTGAAC